AAAGGGAAAAATAAACAATATGAACTTATCTAATATTGCAATTGAAGAGGCTTAGGTTGGACCATAGTTCTCCTTTTCCATAAATTAATTTCCTTCCTTGGCTCCAAACATATAGTTGTTCTACTTCTACCTAATAATATTGGACCAGAAAAAGGACTAATTTCGTCATCGTCACTGAATTCTCTATCATCGTCTGTATAATACTTACGTTGATCTTGAGGTGTAATTTGTATCGACCTCCAGTCAAAATTGGTCAACGGTTCCCTACCACTAGCGAACCGTTGCATTTGACTCAAACAAGGTGCTCTATCAGGAAGCTTACAAATAATATTTTCAACTGCAACATCTGATTTTCGCCCCGATATCAATTTCGATTTGCCACCAAACATACTACCAAAATTAGACATCGATTTCTTCATAACGTTTTTTCGTTGATTTTTACCGGTGCTTGTTTTTTCACTACTTCTCATATGATTCAACGTCTTCTTTTTATTATGCTTGATTTGCCCCATGCATGATATTTTAGGCGAACCGGGCTCGGATTTTCGACCCGAAACTTGATGGGCCGGAATTACTGGTATTATTGGGCCTGTAAATCCTTTATGGTGGTGATTTTTGTGATGATGTTCTGCTGCTAATCTTTTTTCTCTACTTGGACTAAAAGGTGCATGTGCATTTTGTAGTATAAAAGCAGCTGCAGCTGCAGCTTTTGGTAGTAATTTCAAGATTGTAATTTTCTTCTTTGATGACTTGCATGGTTTCTCCATGAGTACTCGCTTCACGACCTCGAATTATTATTCACGAACAAATTTGGAAAAAAATAATAGAAAGATTTGATTCTTACTTTAGATCGAGCCGATGTTGATTCAAATTTTGCTTCTGAATGAAAGATTCTGACTTTGTAGATCGAGTCAGTGCTGATCCAAATTCAGCTAGTTAATTCTCTTTAATTTTTTGAATGAAAGATTTGATTCTGACTTTGTAGATCGAGTCAGTGCAAATCCAAATTCAGCTAGTTAATTCTCTTTGATTTTTCTGAATGAACGATTCGATTCTGACTTTGTAGATCGAGCCGGTGCAGATCCAAATTCAACTAGCTAGTTTTCTTTAATTTTCTGAATGAAAGATTCAATTCTGACTTTGTAGAGCCTGATTCAAATTGATCAGCTAGATAGTTTCTTTATCTCTAAGTTTGTGTATGTGATACACACATGACATAAATATATATAGGTGAAGTGGGGTTGGATATAGTTGGCTAGAGAAATAGTATTATTTATATTAATTATAATAATAAATTAAGGTGGTTAAAAAGGGTGGGGTTATCATTATTGACCTTGCCATTAAGACTGAGGAAAAGAGTGAGAAGAAGAGGTTATAATGGAAAATAAATTAAAGAAAGTAATTGTCATATTTTTAGTATGATGTGAGAAAATTTTAATGATATTTTATTATTTTAAATTTAAAACTTTAATTGATGTTGATATGTATATATATTTTCAAATCAAATGGTAGAACATGACTTTCATGACTAATTTGTTTATAATTATTTTGACTATTTGCACCATGCATGTCATTTGTTTTAACTAACATATATAAATATTCTAGTCAATATTGCCAGTACCCCTTTCAGAGTCCTAACTTATCCTATTAATATTACCTACCTAATCTTTATTTTTATTGGTTAATTCTAGTAATTTTGAGTTCTTCAATAATTGATAAACTGAAATTTTAGTTTTTATGATATTTGATTAAGCTTATTTAATTTTTAATTATTTTAAATGTTCATTTGTAAATTTTGTTATGAAAATTCATAATTTTCAGAGTTATTAATTATTTCACCATTTAACTATCATGGTAGTATGTTAAACTTGAAATATTACTTCATATTTGAGATAATATACTTTTAAAAATCGGCCAATTTTAACATACTTTCTACATAATTGAAGTGATCAAAACAAACAGTTTAATTAATTGAAGATTAAATGTGTTATGTCGAGTCATATATCATAAAGACCAAAATTTATCCTCGCTTCCTTTTGATAGTGATAATTGATAAGGTGTGAACCAGTTGCACACATTTTAATTATTCCGTCGAAAACCTATTACTTCCTTCAAAATATAATTTTACTTGTTTTATTAATCGTTACGTCACAATAACCTTGCTACCTTATCAAATATAATTTAGAACAACAATTTTCAAGACATATATGTTAAATCATAAACTCAACCCTCAACTCTTACAACAATTAATTCCATCAAAAAATGAAAGAAGAAGAATCTAAGTAAAGAGCGATAGAACCCAAATAAATAAAAAAGGCAAATTAGTAAACAAAATATTTACTACATTATGCAAAACATATAATAATAATAATAAGTAACATATAATCGAAAGGGTCAAAATGAATTTAGAGGACCAAGCAAAAGCAATTTGACCAAAGCAATGGGACCTTGGTTATTTAATAATTATAATTAATGCACATTTTGGTCATGCTTTAACTAAAAGTCCAAAATTGCCGCTCACTACGTAAGATTAGTAGGAAACTACGTATGAAAGTGAATTGATCAACTTTTCCTTTGAATTTCACTATAGTTATCGAATCGTCTTAATTTTTGTGAAGTTATTTGATTGAATACAAAGTTTAAATAATAGATTAAGGAAAAGAAGTTAAAATAATTCATAAAAATATCATTTTATTAAGGGTAAAAAACAGAAAACTTAGAGTTAGATTGTTGTTATTATTAAATATGAAAAGATATCATTCTTTTCGAAACTGACTAAAAATGAAAAAGCGTTATATAAATTGAAATGGATGAAATATATAATTTTTCAAGTATTAATATAATCCTAAAAACAACATTACTAATTAAGTAATTATTGCTAACTACTCTATTATACACAAGATATAGTCACTCAATTGTTGACTTTATATTAGAAGTTACTCCTAATAAAGTTTAATTAAAAGAGATTTCAAAATTACTTGAAATTATAAACAAAGTTGAGTATTTTTATTAGAAGAAGAAACACAATTAACATAAATGACAGTAGATTTATTTTGTCTAATGATTACAACCCCCGTTATTTTACAAGTGGTAATACTTTAATTCAACCAAAAAAGTCTTCATCTCTTTTTTACCATCAGGTATTTTGAATTTATTGATCCGATTAATTTAAATATGCATTTTATAGGTCTATTTAAGTAGTGCTTCTAACAAACAAACAAAAAAAGATCATTCGCAAAATTATTCGAACATAAATTACATTAACATGTGATAACATGCACTATAATAAAAGGGACTTTTTGTCGTGACAAATTTTTCTTTTAACAATAATATTTATAGCAATAAAATATTTAGCGGTGATTGAGTTAATGTCATTGCATTCCAAAGTCACTAAAACCTGTAGCGGCATTAAAAAAGTATTGTTAACTTGTTAATAAATACAAATATTTATTATTGTCGTTAAAATAAAATAACAACAATTATATTATTGTCGTTAGATAATTGTCGCTAAATCCTTTATTTGTTAATTTAGGGGTGTTCACGGGTCGATTTGGACCGGTTATTGGTCAAAATCAAAACCAAACTAACTTAATCGATTTTCAAATTATCAAATCAAACCAAACCAAATATAATATACATTTATCAGTTTGGTGGTTATCGGTTTCAGTTTGGTTTGGTTCGGTTATTCGGTTATTAACCATACACAAAAATAAAAGAAACAATTCATTCAAAATGTGAAAAAAGTGACAACAATCCATTCAAAACAAAAAAAATAGTTAGAATGACTTAAATTATCGAACTTTCGATCACTGAATTTACTATCAATAAAGCTTAAAATTCACTATATTGGCCTAGAAGGAAGAGACAATAACATTTTCAGTCCCACAAAGAATTGTCATAGACACTCATATACATGAAATCAATAAGAAAAATGTTTTCACCTTGGGCATTCTTGCTTTCAATAAGTAAAGTTTAAAGAAATTTTAATGGAAACATATATAAGATCTTTAAAATTGTTTATAAAAAGAAATATATTAAGTATGTATATAATTCGTCGGTTCGGTTTGGTTATTTCTTCGGTTTTTTCGAATAAAACCATAACCAAATCAAATACTACCGATTTTCAAAAATCTAAAACCAACCAAACCCAAATAAAATCGGTTTTATTTTATCGGCTTGGTTTGGTTTGGTTTTTCAGTTTGAATCAGTTTTTATCCAAACCATGAACACCCCTATTTGTTATAGTGACAGATAGGGGTGATAAATGACCTTGAACGATTTAGGTTGAATTTGAACCAATCAAAATGAGTTAAGTTATTAAATGAGCAGATTAATAAAACGTTCTTAATTATTTAAGTAAATTGAATGAATCATATTTTTATGAACTAATTTTATCACGTTAAATTCAAATAGTTGGAGTATTTTCTTGGAAATTAGTTGTAAGTAACGTTGCATTTGGTATGCTTCGATGTGGACGGCTGACTAAATTTTCACTCTTAAACACGGACTGATATATTTTTTATATTATAAATAATATATAATTAGGATAGGGATGAAATTTTTTAAAATAAATTTTTAGCTTGAAGCCAAAATAATTTGGTCACACATTACAAAAGGTCAAAATTAACTTTTAGTTTTTGAAATTATTGCACCTTTTATTGTTGATAAATTTTTATTTTAGTTCTTCTTCTGATATTTCACTAAATGTATATATTCAAATTTTTAAGTAATTAAGATGGCTTTTTGTAGGACATATATTATATTTAAATTATTTTTAAAAATACACAAATTTAACATAATACATACTCTCCATAATCATTTTGCTTGTAAATTTGTGAAAATCACAACTTGAAACAAAATAATATATGTTTTACTTATTTGACAATTAAATGTTTGTAAAACGTGTTCTTCACATGCTAGAAAATGCAATAGATAACCTTTCCTTTTAAAAAAGAAGAAGGTGTGTTTCAACTTTCATACAGACATGTTTACAAACTGTAGTCCCTTCGGGACATCCAATAATATTGGAACGATACAAAGAATAAAATTAGCATGACTTTTGCACAAGAATAATACACACAAATCTAGAAATGATCGTTACGGAACTTAAAAAAGGCTTACAAGATTTATACTAGGAAGTTTATTTTATGTTGAGCATATAATTAGCTAAATAAAAAATAATAATCCTTTTTCCTAACAACTTAAGTTTGAATTAGTGTCCATTGAATTCACACTGCTTTTAAGGAACGTACTTAGATCCCATTCTAGTATTTGAGATTTAAAGATTATTTTCTCTCAAGATAAAATAGATAAATCATATTAGTATACCATAATTTTAAACTCAGTGTATAGTAAACTCAAAGACTAGTCAAATCACACTTCGAACTTACTATGAAAAAACTAAACATGGACAAATATTTATAGCCAGAAGATTGGGTTCAAACGAATAAATTTGGTTAATTTTATTTTTATTTTTTTATTCTCATGCATTTTAGTCATGTATTAATGTGAGAATCAATTTATTCAACAAGATCTATTCGAATAATGGTTTAAACACTTCCTCTCGTTAGGATATAAGACTTATTGTTGACAGATGTCCCATGCAACCTCTCGTGAACACCTATGCCCGAGAAACAAATTGTATATACCTTGAATTGAACTCGATCAAACGTGTAACAAAAAAATCATACAGAAACTTGGGCCCATTTTAATTATGGGCTTATTACTTAAGAGCCCAATTTATCCAAACTTCTTCCTTCACTTTTGTGGTTTTTGGTCCTAAAAACCCACCAAGTTTTGTTTTGTTAAATTTCAGTACTTCCTTTCTCTAAAACATATTAAAATGGTCCATGCGAACTTGTCTTACGTAGTTTTGATATATAGGCAAAATTGAGTCGGCATGCAATTTATTATTTTTACTTCTCCTGGGATCGGAGCTCCCATCTTTTTGCTCTCTTGGTGACTTAGATCGACGATCTTAGGGGTGTAGGTGGAGAGTGCTTATCATCTGAACAACCCCCTCTTATCTGACATGTAGAATTTCCATACACAAAAATGATGTTGCATACAATTTTTCCATTGGAAAATTAAGTCGTTCTTTTTCATAGGGCTTTAAAGAAAAATGTTATATATCATAATTGTTTAAGCAATCAAATTTCCTAATTTTGACAAAAACTAGATATTTTGAATGATGAAGTTTGTGATTTATATACATTTCATATTAGTCTTGAATATTAAGCTTTATTTTAAGAATGTTTGAGGAATTGAGATTACACAAGAAAAAAGAAGAAGATCTATTTATGATATTATTAATCTAACCATGTTGTAAAGCAACAAAAGAAATTATTGGTGGACTTCCTTGGCCAAATAGCTAGAACATATTGTGATATGTCTTAATCGACTGGCTAGTGGTATAATCAAACTCAATAATTATAAGTAATATGCACTATGTAATTAAAATTTATATCATCACTGTTTTTAATTGAGACGCAAGTTAAATTTCGTCTCAAAATCTTTTAAGGTTAAGAATAAAGTATCTCAAAATTGATGTATCTTGATTGTTAATCATGAACTTTTTTTATTTTATCTCCCTTTATATATATATATATATATATATATATATATATATATATATATATATCGTCTTTATAAATTTCCATTTCTATGTTGACACGTTACATCTTAAATATTGTGCTTTCTTTTTATACAAAATAACTTAAAGTTTCGACCCTATGTTTACTTTTTTGGCATATAGTTGGGAGTTTGGAATATGTAATATTATATACAACATTCAGATTTTATCTTTTTGATAAAAGTGTTACTCTTTAGTTTGATGCAATAGAAGTTGAAATTTGTGTGGATTCAGAATTAAGGTCATGATTTCGATTTTCATGAGTAACATATTTTATGAGACATGTGTTGATGAGTAATACCAATATATATCCTTTCTATGGAAAACCTAAGAAGGGGTTTGGGTGCTCGATGTTGGAATCATGATCAAAGCTTATTTGGTAGGTTTAGTTAAGCAATCAATTAAATTCATAAATGAAATTGATTTCTTGAAAATTTATCATGTCATGTCGAAATTGGGAACATTACAAAATAGAAAGTTTACTATAATACATCATGATTTGAGATTGAGCAACTAATTTCACCCCAAAAAAATAGCTATCTTATATAATCTTCATTTTATATATAACTGAGAAACTATATGGAGCCAACCCTAATGTTTGATCACGAGAATTATTCACTTTTTTCAGAATAATTTTTTATTTTATTTGAAAATCAATGTTTGGCCGATGAAAATTCTAAATTCATCTTGAAGTAGCTTTGAACATGTTTTCCAACTTCATCTTCATATTTCCAAATAAAGTGTTTTCTTCTCCATTTTGCAAAAGTCTAACCAAAACATTACTCCATCTTCGTAAGTTTCAAATAAAGTAAAAAATATTTGAAATCTATGACTTATTAGATACTACACTACTTATGCCGAGTGAATTAGATACTATACAACTTCTATCGGATAATATAATCCGTACAAAATTTATGTCAGACGAGGCAGAAATTCTTTAAATTTTTGCAAAAATCTCTAAGCATAAAAAATATTTCGAAATAGGGACAATTCATGCAAAAAACTTTTTTACATTTCATCATAGACCTGGATTCTTCTAAATTATGGAACAATTAAGCTTGGGCCCATCTTAACAACCTGGTCAAGTTTTATCCAGATAAAGAATATGGCCTTTCACTATTTTTTCAACTTTAAGCCCAAAACCAGACAAATAAACCAAGTCCACAACTAATATTGTATGTCATTTTAAGGGCATTATTGTTTTATTTCTCATTGAGTGTTCGGTACTTGTATTAGAGTTAAACTAGTTCAAATTCGCGCTGCTTAGGGCCTATTAGGAGAAAGTGCCCAAAACCAAGAGTTTTTTCTATATCTAAAGCTCGAAACTGACATCTCTAGATAAGAAAAGAGCAGCTTCATCCATTGCCCGTATTTTATGGGGTAGGGCATGCATTTTCGTTATTATTATGGATAGATACATTTCGTGTAATATTTGTGAAATTTCATTACATTTCGAGAACATTCAAATGGACAAATTACAACAAAGAACATGTTTGTGACATATACATGTAAGCCTTTTAGTGGATGGAATTATGGATGATCCTTTATATTAGGTGACTATGATTGGACAATAGTTTGGCTTTACTTGTAACTTTTATTTTATTTAATTCTACGTAGTCAAACATCAAATTGAAAGGCCAAAATGAAATGAAACGAACTTAAAAAATAGTGGGATTCATATAATTAATCTTTAACGTGTTTGGAATTGAGTCGTGGTTATAACAATAGTTATCATTGTTGATATGTTCTTGTATCATAACAAGTAAAAGATATATACAAGTAATTAAACGGTCTGAATTTGTAATTTGAAATATAACATAAGTTATATGTTATAATAGATATAGATTATTGATGGTAAATAGTGGAGTATATTATTTTTATATATTTAACTAACAAATATAATTATTTTAACCGGTTGAGCAAAGATGGAAAAGATATCAACAATGAGAATATGTAATCCAATTCATTTTACTACTGAATTTGATTTTTTCAATTTTAACTAATCAAACATGAAAAAATTAAAAGATATATTTTTTTTATATCGATCATACCTTTATTGAGTTGTGTCAAATAATTATTTGGAGCATTATAGAATGGAAAGAATTACATATAGTTTGGTCAAGCAAATCTCATCGAAAAATAAGCAACTCCACTATTTAAGATACTATTTTTTTTTGGGTACATCTATTTAAGATACTAATTACTAAATTTACAATTGGCTTGATTATTAAACTTATGATATAATTAAACTAGAATTTGTTATGTTATCATTAACGAATATCAAAATATTACCAAAAAGCAGCAAGTTATTGGAAGTGGATTAACTCTATTTTAATCTAAGAGCCTAACGTGACGATTTAATTATTCTCCTGATAAAACAAATCAATATTATCATCATTTTAGTGATAGGTACATTTAAGCTAATATATATATATTTGAAAATAAGCAAATTTTAAAGATTGTTTCATTTTAATTACGTTGTCAATTCAAGACATGGGTATAGAGAAAATCTTGTTGGAAGCATCACCATCAAACGTCAAGTGGACTCAGTAATGCGCGATCCGAATTAAGTCGGGGCTCTAATGTGGACTCAGGACACCAGGTGAGAAATAAAAAAAAGAAGGATATGTAACTAATTTACCTTAAAGAACAACTACGTTCATGAGTTACATTTTTTTTTTGGTATACAATAATAACTACAACAACAACAAACGAACAAACAAAAATCCTGTGTAATCTCACATGTAGGGTTTGAGTCGGAAGGATAGTCTTACACAAATCTTATTCTTACCTTAGGAGATAAAGAGACTATTTTCGATAGATCCCAACTCGTTGAAAAACATAACAAACCCAACAAAGGTGGTTGCTAAATATTCCGAGTATTATATTCGATCGTATTTGTTACGTATGTATTTGATTAAGAGTATACATTCTATGTATTAGTCATCATGATGTACACATATTTACTTGCACGATTATATTACTTAGCAATATACAAAATATAAATAATTATTAAGTGATATAAGTTGATAAAAATGGTAATTAACTTGTTATAATAGTTTAAACTATATTGATAATATAAGTATTTTTTTACTCTTATCAATATATAAAACATAAATTCTTTAATTAATTCACTGCTTAAATTTGTTTTAGTTTTTTGAGTGATTAGATTTAATTTAATTTGATAGAGTTATATTTAGGCACGTTTGACGTTTATAGCAAGCAAAACAAAAAAAATAAAAATGTTTTCCCAAAGTAAAAGTATTTCATTTTTTTTCCATGGCAAATGGTTTTGCCTTATTTTTATTACAACGTCACTTCCATTTTGAAAAGACAATCGATATACTATCAAAGATTTTAGATTTGAATTTTGAATATGAAGTTAACTTTAGGGAGCGTTTTATTTTTAAGTATAACTTTTGATACAAATATAAATTAATCAAATTTCAAAATGAATATCAAAGCGTGAGGGAAAAAAAAGGACAATAAACGTACGTTTAAACTCAGAACATGGAACTTGCAACTTTTATACTTTGACAAGATAATATATCTAATATGTTATTAGTGTAAGCTTACTTATGAAAAGTTTAACGATAGTTATCTTTTAGGGGATGTTCATATATTTAATATGGATCAACATCCAATTTGTAAGATCATGTTAAAAAATTAACTGTCAAATCTACTTATTAGTGCCTTTTTAATTCAATTTAGGTGACATTATTTATTTATAATTTATTTTTGAAAAATAATAATATATTTTTAAAGTTCTAATTACACTGAAGAGGTAAATCACACTAGGCAAGCCCCATCAGACTAGCTTGATTGAGAAAGTATGCAAAGGGGTTTCAAATTTGTAACCACCAATTTGGGAGATCACTTGCTCAACCAACTCGGTCATTCCTATAGGTATAATATTATAATATATTTAAGACCACAAATTAAATTTTCACTTTTTATTTCTTAAATAAATTATATACTAGTGTAAACCGAAATGACATGTGTACTAAACTCCATTGTAATTCCAATCATGTTACACATATAAATACAACACAATTTAAATTATACACATATAGAAAGAGATTGATTGTGATATATATCTCTTTAATTCATTGATCTAAAATATTTTGTATGCACCTAACTCACCACCAAGTATTTAAACCACTCATCTTCCCTTCTAACTTTTCTCATCAATTATGTTATTTTGGTACTCTTTTCACTTTTCAACCCTCTCTTCTTTTCTCTCCATCATTGCCACAACTATTATCAACACCCCCGTTAAAATAAATATACTTGAATCGTGCTGATATTAACCAAAAAGATACTCTCCTCGAAAGGTCTTGAAATAAAAAACCCTCTTCTCTTCTTTTCTTTCCCATCATTTCCACTATTATCAACACCCCCCTTAAATACATATGCTCGAATCGTGCTGATATTAACCAAAAAGATACTCTCTTCGAAAGGTCTTGAAATCGAAAACCCTCTAGAAAACAATGCTTTTTAGTGTGTTTCTAGCATTATTTCTTCCATGTGTTGGCATGAGTGTTGTTTTTGTGGTGTACATGTGTTTTCTTTGTTATGCCACAACAACAAGGCAACAACAACATCATATTAATCAAGAACATATAAAGGGTGTTAAAGAAAAGGGACTTTCTTTAACACAATTGGATAAATTGCCTAAAGTTAGTGGACAAGAATTGGTTATGGGAAATGATTGTGCTGTTTGTTTGGATGAAATTGAGAAAGAACAAGTGGCAAGAATTGTACCAGGTTGTAATCATGGTTTCCATATTGAATGTGCTGATACTTGGTTGGCCAAACATCCTGTTTGTCCTGTTTGTAGAAGTAAACTTGAGACAGAGTTGTTTGATACTACCAATGAAAACAATCCTTGCTAATGGGGATTGATATCAGGAATCGAACCCTCACCAGCAAGGTGAACGTTCAGATAGTCAACCAACTAATCTACTGAGATTTTCCTTTTCCTACAAGAAATTGTTGTGAGATGATAAGAGATTCAATCAAGACAGAGCATTTTTCTTGTGCTTCTTCTTCCTTCCTTTTAGTAAAGGTGTTCTATTTGCTCGCGGTTCATGTTTGATATCAGATAAAGCAAATTTTGATTTTCGTTTTTCTTGTGATGGACCTCGACGAGGGGGGGGGGGGGTACATATCGAGTATAGACCTCAGGTCATGTCTTTTAATTTTGGGACTATTTTGAATGTACAATGCAATTTCAATAGTAATATTCCGTTTCGGATTAAATTAATCCAAAAATTACTCGTAATATAATGTGTTATTGTCCTTTTAAATCAAGTCTGCATGATTTTTTCCAAAAAAATGTTTCACACCCTTAAGTATACTCTACACCTTATGTAACTTCTCAATTTCTACCAAACAAATAAGGCATTTCATGTTTGCATACTGAATTGATTAATTCAAATTCACGTTAGAATAGACTTAATGAAAAGGATTAATCAAGCTCCTTATAAAGGAATTCTTCATTTTTAAGACTTCTTTTCAAATACCACAAAGATTGCCTCGTGGATTTTTATTAATTATAAAAAAAAACCTTTAAAAAGTATTAAAAAAAGAATTAGACCTTACTTTACGAATCTTAGTGAGAATTTTAAAAAAAAAACAATCATCTCATCATATCCTTTTATGATAGATATAGTTTATTTTCATTAGTAATAATTAGTAGAAGCAAGATTTGTTTAAAAAACATGTCTCACTAGAAGAAAATAAAACATATAGCTTGTAAGTTGTTAGGGCATAATTTTCATCAAAAGAATTCAATATAAATAAATTATATATAAAATATAAAATTTCACTTTCTATATTCAGTATAATTTTATAGATGAAATTTAAGAAAGATAGAATATACGTAAATCTTATCTTTCATTCATAAAAATAAAATAAAAAATTCAAAAAATTCTCAATTTAAATAACGCATATCCGAGCATATGCATATATAAATTAATATTTTTTTGGGGGGACAGGCCCTACGGTACTATATATGTGGGGAATTTAGTGAAGCTTTGAGATTCGTCTAGTACCATCAAATGATAAAATTTAACAACTTTACACCTAGGTAAATATATTTGGATAGAATTTAACGTTTATTTTTTATAAAATAATACCATCAAATTAAAGATGAATGTGCCCAATCAATGATATGACATAATATCATAGTGGAAGTATCTTTTAATTCTTTGACGAAAAAGAATTACATCTTTTCTATAATTGATGAGTTGATTGCAATCAAGGGATATATCAACATATGAGCCATCATTTAGTTTTTTTTTTATGTGATGTTTGATATATATATTGAAGTTTGACTAATATAAATTTGTGCCACACTCATTTAAGAAAAACGCTATTTATCAAAGAGTTTTTCATATTCAAAACTTTTAACCCGATGTACTATGGCTAAAATTCTTTTTCCCCCTTTCTCAAAGAAGGATAGACAATGAGGTGTAATTCTTTTACTCTCTTCATCCCAATTTATATGACACATTTCGGATTTTGAGATTCAAATAAATCTATCTTTGACTGTAATTTTTTTATATATCTTTTAAATATTTTGAATTGCCAATTATTATGACTAATAGTATTTTTTTACGTAGTTTACAAATATATAAATTTCGTTTTAAAAAATTAAGGATTTCATGCACAAATATCACTTTGAAATAGCATGTCTCTTTAAAATAAATGTGCGAATTTTTCGATAAAACTTAAAATGTTTGAAAAAAAATAATATTTCACATAAATTAATTAATACCGAGGGAGTAATATCTATTTTGGCTGCATATACTTTACTTTACTTTATTGAAAACAAAATTATGAAAGGGGAAAAACAATACTCATTACGCCAACTGTTGAAAAATTAATACTTGCATAGGGTGTGTGGGGAAATGATGATCATGATAATTGATAAAAAAATACGTGGATTCATAATATTCAATTTTTAGATTTGTTCTGAACCATAATTCTTTTTGCTTATTTAATTTCTAACATTTTATAATTCGAATCAAAATTATTAAATATTATCGATTGTGATGTCCCTCTACATGTCACAAGTCACACAACTCATTAGATTTTCATGGCATTAAATCACAACACCTACCTGTACTAGTAAATCAATAGGGTCAAATGTATACTATATAGTATGAATGGGAGAAATTAAATAAGTATCATTTAATTATGCTATAAAAAAAATAGCTACGTAGACATGTTAAGAATCACAAATGTACAAGTGAGAATTAATTATTAGCCTATTGAACTAACTTCTAATTAATCAAATGTCAATGTTCTAGAACGTTATAGTTAAAATTCACTAGATATTCATTAGAAAAACAATGTTTTTGATATTGGAAAAAAAATCAAATCCTCTCCTTTAACTATTAAAGGAATAATAAAACGAATTATATCGTGACAATCTGATTATTGTATACAAATTAATACATATCGAACAGAAGAATGTATTGATATTAACTTATCTCTTATGATTGAACGATAAAATTCTTTCACCACCGAAACTAAAAAATATGACTGGTTCAATGCTATAAGTACAACTAATATCATGGATAATTCAATAATTTAATTACAACACCCCAACAATTTCAACTACCAATAATATTCCCAAATTAAATCATACCCATACTATAAATCTCATTAGTACCTTGGGGTAAGGGGCATAGCTAGACAAGAGAGGCCCCTTTATGAAAAAAAATACTAAACACATGAACTAATCGAATGATTTTCAATATCTACTATATATAACTAATGCATTTTTCGAACGAAGGACGTGGTTTGGATGACCCACTATCCCAAAGTTGACTCTGCCCTTGCAATCAAAGTGGGGAATCAAAGTCTCACCAATAAGATGAGAATTCAGATAGTTAACTAACTATTCGAGTTCATATACTAGGAACAATATATCAAAATAGTGAGGTATATAATAGAATGGAATATATACAAAATATGAAGCCAATGAGAAAAACCAAAGAAGAAAAAGAAAGAATAGATTAGACAAGAAAAAGAGAAAGTTGGTGGGAGTGAGTGTATTAATTAATATAATAAGAATAGCTTCTCTTGAAGGTCAAGGAACAGTACAAAACTTCAATGTACTGACACTTACTACACTTCTAGGGCTAACATCAAGTTTTGAGCATTTATCTCTTATTTTCATTTTTTAAAATAATAATAATAATATTAATAATAATTTATGGAGTAATCTTTTCATGTATGAATTTTCTACATATATTTTGAATAATCGAATCGACCAAAATAGAAAAGATAGTAATTTTTTTAATTATATGAATACATTAGAAAATTTCTCATTATTTCAGTGAGAATTAATTTCCCACCTTGTATTTTGTCAATGAGCTACTTCGATGAGACATGAGTAGAAAAATCATGTTCTATAACACAAATTTTTCTCTAATTTGCAGCGAAAAAACTTTTGTTTCTAGTAGAGGGTGAGATTCAAAGCTAGTAGATAATGGAGGCTCTTAGAAATACAGTAACTTTTACTCTTGCATATATATATATATATATATATATATATATATATATATATATATATATATATATTAAAATTACTTATATACGAGTTATCATAGGAATCATGAACTTCAAAAATCTTGTCCGCCTCTATTAATATGTATAAATAATTTATCTAAAATCCTATAAGTCATATTTTTTAAAATTGAGAACCTAAAAACTCAAAATTATATTTTCACCTCTAAATTAGAAGATCAATTTTAAGATAATTAAACTATACTATTAATTAACTAATATATTACTTACGTATTGAACTACATTGATGGTACAAGAACTTATAATATAATTACTTGATTTTTTCTTTCTTTATTTATTTATTTATTTTTATTTATTTATTTGAGATATAATAAGTACTTAAGTAATAATCAACTTATGTAGTGCTTTTTTGCTTAGTTGTAATGACAACAATGTCAAGTCTCAATCGATTTCCTTTTGTTATTTGTCTTTTCTCTTATCAATCATTAATTTATTAATATATTTAATTAAACAACGCCACATGTGTACTACTGATAATGTTATTAATGTTGTTATATCCTCGTCTTCAACTGTCTGATTTGATTCTTTCATTCACAAACTATAATTATATATATAGAAAAAAATATCCAAAATAATAATATATATTTTTACTTCATGACCATATATTATAATTTTTTTTTATGTACTTGCATTTACTCATGATCATAATATCGCATGTTGCGTTTCAATCACCTATCTTCAATCAAAAAATAAAAAAAATAAAAAGAAGAAAAAGAATAGTTGAATCACAAATAATGAAAAAAAAAGTCAAACAATTAAAAAATATAGCCGTTCAAATAATTTCTGAAAAATAAATTGATCTTACAAAAAAATAGGGGCGGAGCCATCTGGAAGCAAGGGTTAATACGATATCCTTTTGTCAAAAATTTGAGACATGTATATATATTACAATTTACAGGTCTAAAAAAATGCATTATAAGTATATACCTTGCTTGAAACAAAAGTGTGAAATGAACTAACCATTTTTTTAATGAAAATTCTGATTCTAGCTAGAGTAGCTATTTTAAAGAGTAGATGTACTTGTACATCTGTGAATACTTAGAGTTTAATTATAGGTTTTAGGTTCAAGTTTTACATATGAACTCGTTGTTGTTAGGGAGTGCTTTACTTTTAAGAATTTTTTGCACGTAAATTCAAATTTAATTGGACTTTCATACGAATATCAAATATCGAACCTAAAAAAAAAGTTAATGTTGGAATATGAGTGCTAGAGCAGCCAATGGTGTCCATATATATGTCAGCCACAATAATCATGCCATTTGTTTTGCTATAGAATATCAAATAAACTATAATATAAAGTATGCACTTTAATTTATTGATCATGAAAGTGATAAAAAGCCAAAAAGGGAGAAAGCTTATCTCCTTAGAAAAGAATCATCCATTTTGTATTGTAACTGTTTACAAGTGAATGGTATAGGTAAATATATCATCTTTTAATGGATTGGACGCACTATATATTATGTCATCCTTATCTGTATGAAAGAAACAAGGATTAGATGGAATTGGTTTAGTGCGTTGGTCCCCTTGAATAGTTTATGATGTCGGACTAAGCAGACTCGAAAATACTCTTAACATAATGTGATACTGATAGTTTTCAATCAAGTTTGCATGATTTTCATGAAAAAATTGATTTTACACTAGCTATTAGAAGTATTCTTGTACTTTGTATGTAGCACTTCCCAATCTTTTTAACGATCAACTAATGTTGAGTTATATATGTTTTCACATCCAATATCTACGATCAACGATCTCCCCTCATAAATACTCAAACTAAGTCCCTATCGCCTTAATGAGAACATTGTTATAGCTATATCATCCTAAAGAGGGATGTGATGGGAAGAAATGACATTTGATGAATATGTTGCTGACTAATTATAAACATTTAAGTTTTGTCATAACAAAGCTTGCACTCATTGTATGACACCAACATGTATATTTGATCGAGCATTATGGTTATCGAAGCCCAAACCTATATAGCTTGTTCTAGCTAGTGTGTGCCTTAATCAAATACAAAGCTATGTTTGGAGTGATAAAGGTAATAAACCTAGCACTACACTATCACTATACCATCTCCTTATACTTAAAGCTTATCGATCTTTTCAACTATCCATCTATATATATATATATATATATATATATATATATATATATATAAGATTTTATCCGTACACGTAATAATTAAATATCTAAGTTTTAGATTGTATCAAAGGGAGAGAGGGAAAGGCGGATTGCCCCATTTTTCCTTTAGGAAAAGAGATAAAAAGTTGTCTCCTTTTGATGGATTGAAAAGTAAAAGTAATATTATCAAAAATTGCGATAGAATGATAAGGGCTTATTTACTTTTAATTAAAAGTCTCATATTTGAACTTTGAATATAAAATCAGCTTTGATAGGAATCACTTTATCCCCTAAAAATAAGACTTCTCCACACAAATCTGAATTAATCAAACTCCAAAGTAGATATCGAAAAATTAACAAAGAAATAGGGAAATAAATATAAAAGTAGTGACCTTGAACAATGATTTGATTAAAGTGTCTAAAATTGGATTGAATAATACACGAAGGGATTGGGTGGTGACGTGTGGTGGGCATTCAAGTAGGCCATCTTTGTTCAAATTCTATCATTACGAAAGTTCAACTTTAATAATATACTCCTTTTACACCATCAAATTAAAACAATTTACAATAACAAATAGATGAAATATATTAATTCAATGATAATCTAAACATGAATTGGTTATGAAAACTCATCGCTAACATATCGATCGATGGTGGAAGTCGCAAGTCTTACTTATCTATATTATACACCCTTTAGCTTATTACTTAATAAAGAAAATAAGTTAAAAACAGAGTATATGTAAACACATACGCTTATTGAAGATTTGAACTCTCATCGTTTCTCAAACCCTTCATTCTCCCTCTTTCATTGTGTCGATAAAATTACAATTGCAAATAAAGAACTAAGCTTGAGTACACAAAAAGGTAACGAAGAACGATAATTCAATCAAAGTGATTCATAACAATATATTGATAGTTATGTGATTAGTCTATACTATACCAATTTGAAAGCAATAATACAAAAATGTATACACGTAAGCAATTATTCAATAATAGATCCTTAAGGAAATTATTATATTGGGCCATGAAAATTAGCTAAGCGATGGGCCACTCCTAGAAATGGCCTCTAGTGACTAATGTGTACAAAGCCTTACCACTAACCTAGCTCTATATTGCGTTGGTCTTTAATTTACGTCTCTCGTAAGAAATAATTTTTGTACGAGGGATGAATATTAATTATGAGGGTGTTTGAAGACTATTTGAGATGAATTTCAGATTAAAACTCGAGGTTAAAGATAATATCATCTTCGTGTTCTCCACTATACCCCTTGTGTATCCTCATGTATATATCAGTTTATATCCCACTATATATTATATCATGTATATATGTGTATATATATATTCATGAAAATCGATTTTTGTTATATTCATGATATTGATATACATGATGTATAATATGATATACAAATATACAATATGATATTCCTTTATCATATGTTTTCTAGGTTTCATTTTTCACTCCAAACTAATCAAAATCATCTCTAATCTTAAACTTTAAATATAGCCTCGTCCAATTATTTTCAATCAATTCCTTTACTAAAAATTTACCAAAAGCTTATGGTTATGTATTCTTGATGACATGTTGCTAAGAGGGAAAATATATTATATTGATATAGTAGCTTTCCAAAAGAGAGAAAAAAAAAACCTATTTGTTTAAACGGCTTTTTGTAAAGAAATGAATTTCGGGTTTAACTTAACTCCAAACGCTAGTTCAAATGTGAGTATTTGCCCGAGTTATATTAAGGAGATTACTCATTCCTTAAACCATCGATGTAGCACTCTTTACACCCTCCGCCCCTCTTCCCACACCCAGACATCTAGCGTGTTGACAATTTTAACACGAGGATCAATATCGAAAAACTTGAATTGAAATGAGTCTAACTTAACCTCAAATGTTATCTGATCAAGAGGTGAGAGTTATTCAAGTCATATTAAAGTGACCACTCATTCGTTAAACCACCAACAGAAGGACTCTTCACATTTTAAGATAATCTTTTCAAATAATAAAACAATTCTAACAAAGTTTTCAATGGAATATAAATTTTTCCAAAAGTTGTTTAAAAGTTGGTAATACGTTACGTCAACTTTTTGTCATCAAGTTTTAACGTTTTCGTTACGTTTATCCCACTTTTCGCCATCAACATCTCCACTAGCTTTAGCTTTTCCATAATAGGATTCCATCTGTCTCGATTTATGTGATATATTTTAGTTTTTGAGATTCAAATAACTTTATTTTTTATTAGAAAATTTTCATATATCTTTTAAATATTTTGAATTGTCAATTATTATAACTTATAATACCTTTTACGTGGTTTACAGATATATAAATTTCATTTTAAAAAATATGAAGAATCCATGAGAAAATTCTTGATCAAACTTAATCTGTTTGGCTCTCAAAAAAACGAAATGTGTTACGTAAATTGTGACAGAGGGAGTATATGATAGAAGCGAAGCTAGCTAGTATTTGAATTTTAAATTTTAAAATAGTGATATCAAGTATTAGTATAAGGATTTTAAATTTATATGTTTAGTACACTTTTTAATATAAATATAAAATTCGAACTAAAATTATTGATTCGACCAAACTTGTACTTCAACTTCTAGCTTCCTCACTCCTAAAAAATGAATATTACATGTAACTGATGATCAAGATTGATCAACATCGTAGAATAATATATAACTTATTATTCAATATCAAAAGTTGATCGATCATGATACATACATGTGAAAAAAATCATAGCATCTAATTTAAATCTTCAAATAATTGAATCATATTCTTTCTTATAATTAGACGGATGTTGGACTGAGAAAATATGAGCTCACAAACTTACAACTCTATTGATAAACTAAAGCTAAGAGAAAAGAGAGAAAGGGAAATTGTATTGATCATTATTTCGTGTGTTAGATTCAAATGAGCTTTGTACTCAGTCTTATAGTCCCAGCTAGTTTCTGGACACGTACGTTGTACATGTGATCGATGTGATTTTTTTTTTTAAAATCTGTTAAAATGATTAAAATTCTTTGAAAACATGTGTAATATGAAAAACGAGAGTTATGAATATTAAGAGTAACAACTAAATAAGTAATTAGATATGAGTTATGAAGGTGAGAATCTTGTTGGGAGCGTCACTCCCGAATGGGCTCTGCAGTGCGCGTTTCGGATTTAGTCGGAGCTCCAATGCTGGCTTCAGACACGTTAAAGTGACTTTTGAATTTTTTTTGATGCATATCATATTAATTTTAAAATGATAAAATTAAATATTTTATAATAGTTAATATTGTAATCCAACTTTAAAGTTAAGAATTTTTCATTTTTGATATAATATATGATATATGATATGATTTACAAAATATATTTTGAATTCTACCAAACTATGACAGCTCATCACCAATTAAGCATTGACCAAGTCACCTAACTAACGGAATGAACAACAACTAAGTAATGAACCAGGTTCATTGTGTGATACAACGCACTAATGGACCTGGTTCATTACGCGATGTACTTGAACATGGAAACTATAATTATATCTAGATTTAGTTTCCTAGCAGCGAATTTCAAACTTGTCCACATCATTCATCACCTATTTAACTCTTTTCCTTTCACATATCTTGTGATTAGAATTAAATTTCAAGAAATGGAATTCTTGAAAATTCAGAACTATAATACTCTCATGAAATCACTCGTGTTACTACTATTATGTGTTGTTCGTGTGAACGCTCAGGTTACACTTCCGTCTAGACAAGACGGATTCTGGTACAAGAACAGAATCGCCAACACAGAATCTATATTAATAGAGGCTTTCTTCGATCCCCTTTGCCCTGATAGTCGCGATTCATGGCCCCCTCTCAAGCTAGCTCTCCAACACTATGGATCTCGTCTCTCTCTCGTTGTTCATCCGTTCCCTTTACCGTACGTATGCTCATTTCTCAATTTTACTTGAAAAAACTTAATCTGTAGCTTAGTAATTGTTCAAATTTGCAGGTATCATGACAATGCATTTATTTCATCGCGAGCGTTGCATATTAGCAATCAGTTGAATACTTCTGCTACATATAGATTACTGGAATCTTTCTTTGATCACCAGGTATAAATCTATTGTACGTTGTATTACCCTGCATTTCTGCAAGAGGCTGTTTTCACACCCTGAACATGTGACCCTCCATAGGTCACATGACAACAACTTTAGATCTTACTTACAAACTCTTCTTTGAAGTCTGATATGCTATACTATCTAGCAGACGTGGAATTAGTCACTAATGCTTGGTTCAGGGTAGACTGTCTACGTTACATCCCCTTTGGGTGCATCCCTTCTCTATATCCTGTGTGAACGTGAGATGCTTTATTCATCGAGCTGCCCTTTTTTAATCTTTATATTATAAGAATCTAATAGAACGCTAGACCATTGATTGTTCATCATACATGACAAAACTAGAACTATCAAACAACATGAATTAGTTGAATCCACATTTTACACAGAGTAGTAAACTCAGATTGTACGCGAAAATCGTTCCTCTGTTACAAATTATACACAGTTTTGATTTTAATTGTGCCTGGTTGAACAGGGCAAGTTTTATGGCAATGCGACGTTCAACTTGTCCAGATCATCTGTTGTAGATAAAATTGCAAGATTTACATCAAATTCAATTGGGAATTCGCATTACGCTGCTGTAAAAGCTGGATTTACTGACCCCAAAACTGATCATGCAACAAGAATTTCCTTCAAGGTATGCTAATTAAGCTCAATTTACCTTACACATTGTGTGTATATCTTTCACCTATACCGATTACTTACATTCGTGTATACATATTTTGACAGTTTGGTTGTGTGAAAGGCGTATATGCAACGCCTTTTTTCTTCGTAAATGGGTTTCCTCTGCCTGATTCTGGCTCAGCATTGGACTACAATGCATGGAGAAAAATCATTCATCCATTGTTGAAGAACTAACAATTTTGCATTTTTTGTAAGACTGCGTACAATAGACCTTTGTGGTTCGACCTTTATATAGCGGGAGCTTAGTATACCAAGAAGTCCTACAGTAGTTGTATTTGTAGAGACAAATCTTTTATCTCCTGTGTTTACAAATATAATAAAAGTAATTTATTGCTTCTATATTTATAGCTTATGGTTATACAAAATTGAAAATACTAATGTGATGGTAAATGTTATTTCTTTGTCTTACATGATTAAGTATAAATGCTCTTGCACACAAAACGTTGCGACGATAGGCATAAAGGCGTGATTAGTTCCACAAATTTCACTGTACTGATCATAGTAAACTCTTTCTCGTTATACAGAAATAGAGGTCTACTCATTCACTCTTCACGATAACAAACTCCTAATTATTCACATCTAGATGTGCCGCAAAATAACAAAAGAAAGATCTCAAGGCTTTGAAAATATACCACTCCGAATTACTCTTCCTCTAACATTAAACTAAATGGCCCAAGACACTCACTGAATTTGAAATTTCAAAAAACAAATTAAAACATTGATGGACTCTTTTTAGTTTTCTTGGGTTGATAGAGTATATATGAATAATCTACAAGATTGTCTATTCGATATATAAGGTAGAGACCTTATTATTGATAATATAAGAAAGATTTAAATTATATATGTTGAGTTACCTACAATAATTTAAACAAAGTTAATGGACTTTTTAAGATGAATAGAAAGTTTAAATCAGATCTATTGAATTCGATCAAATTTGTAGTTGACTGCCTTGCTCCAATGTACAACATAATATGGGACTAAACCAAGAATTAGGATGCACATGTCTCTACAATTATGATAAGAAAACGTATTTCAGACTGAACCCCAATAAATAGCTTGTGAGGTAAGAATTGCTCCTAACTACATTTTTTATAAAATTGTTGTAAATTGGATGCCCACATTAATATGTTAAGTGTTGTAAGGTTAATACACACACAATATGCTAAGTGGTGTATACTAATTAGCCATATGATATACTTGGTGCCCAAAGTGTATACATAAGATATCCATGTATCAGACTTGGTGCCCAAGTATATACAACTATATATACCCCTCTTCTTGTGACAAAGGTAGATGCAAGAGTAAGTGAAAAGAAAATACTACACGTACTATTTCTCATCCATCTTTCTTGCTATCTTAGCATTAATACTTAGTTCAAAACAAAAATCAAATATTCACATCTCATCCGATATAGAACAATCAACACTTATTTAATTTAAAATTAATTACACCGAACACTTTTGTAATATGACTCAATTTTAGATATACATCCTATAATTTAAAATCAAATACTTAATATAACATTTTAAAAATAAGTATTTATAAGTATTATTTAATTTATCAAAAACACTATAAAATTATTTCAAAGCTATTTGACTTTAAAACACTTAATATATGATGCATATATTTGATTTTTAAAATACAAAAAAATCTAAGTTATAGTATATAGATTTTTAATGTAATTAACCATTTAATTTATGGGTCTACCCTTCATTTATTATGAAAAACATTTACTTCCCAATTATCTTTGCATCAACATCATTATCACCTCTATTTTTTTTGTTTTTTTTTCCACATATTTTTCTACAATAAAAAATAGCCCAAAACTCTGAAACCAGATAGAATTACTGTCTACTGCAACAAAAATGGTGAAATCAATTGTATTTCTGAATTTCATTTTGATATTTATCATCTCTGTGAATTCTCAAATTCCAGATGGATTCTTGTACGGCGGCGACGGCATAATCGATATAACAAAATCAATAGTAATCGAAGCTTTCTTAGATCCAGTTTGCCCTGATAGCCGAGATTCCTGGCCTCCTCTCAAAAAAGCTCTCCATCACTACGGTTCTCATGTTTCTCTTGTTGTTCATACTTTCCCTTTGCCGTAAGTCTCGATTTTGTGATTTTCATAACTAAATTACTGTGTTTTTTTCGTTATCGTATGGATAATAATGCCGTTTAGAGTAGAAATCCCCAATTGAATATGTTTGGGGATGAATCTATTGGGAGCCGGATTTATTAGTATGAAAAAAACTAGCAAAAGTGAAAATGGTCAAAAACATATTGAAGTATCATGTTTTTGCGAGTTTCTTACTTGAACTATCAGGTGTTCACTTTTTTCTATATGAATTATGGGCTATGGCTAACTATTAATCAAAACACATTTCAACTATCAGTTGTTCGCTTTTTCGAATGATAGTTGAGGTGATATGTCAGGTAGGAAAAGGGACAATTGATAGTTGAGGTGTGTAGTTGGTGATAGTTTAAGTGGGAGAAGTGAACATCTGATAGTTCAGGTAGGAAACTAGTAAAGACATGATACGTGAGGTGTGTTTTTGATCGTTAACTCCGTGCAAAATGATGATAGATTAGAGTTTTTTAAACCTATTCGGATACTCGTTGGTAAATGTAGACAAATTAATAGCTAAACTTGGTGCAATGTTGTGCTGCTGGTTTATTTGGTGAGTTACTAATTAATCTGTTAAATGGGGTAGCATCTCGTTATTGGGCTTGTCTAATTAAGTGTCATCTGAATCTTAAGACTGTGTAGTTAGTTGATCTAACTTCCATTAGACATACTAGTGTAGCTTATAATCTAAGTTGCTCAGACTCTCCAAAAATGATGCCGCACCCGTGTCGGATCCTTCAAAAATACACTATTTTTGGAGGATTCGACATCTGACATGCACCCGTCGACATTTTTGGAAGAGTCCGAGCAACATAGAGCTTATTGATAGCCATGTTTTTCTATAAGGAGATTGCATCAAGCGTTATGATTACACTATTGCATTTGCTGATCACTGTGTATTGTCTGTTCTTCTATTGCTTTTAGAGTCGGATTGTTGATATGTGTAGGGCAATGACAATGCCATCTGGTTTTCGAGTTGAACATATGGAATTTGAGTTACAATTGACATGTTTTTTTTTTTTGCTTACTTGTTCTAATATATGCAGTTACCATGACAATGCATTTACTACATCGCGCGCGTTGCACATTGTCAATAAGTTGAATTCTTCTGCCACATTCAGATTACTAGAGGCTTTCTTTGATCAACAGGTAACAAGTTTTTTTGGGATACAATCTACAAAAGCATAATACATAAACAGACACTCAAATTTGGCCTTAGATGACAATTCGAGCACTCCAACTTTGAGAGTGCACATCTAGATACCTCATTTTGGTCTCAACTAGTAACTAAACACTCCAACTCGTCTCCGTTATGTCTTGTGGACACCCAACTCTGACGTGACACATAGATTTTGGAAGTGTCGTGATGATTATGTTGTAAGTTGGAGTGTTCAACTGATACAATGGAGACGAGTTAGGTGTCTAGATGAGCAAACTTAAAGTTGGAGTGTTTACTTGTCACCTAAGGTCAGGTTGAGTGTCTGTTTATGTATTATGCCATCTGCAAATGTCATACATGCTTGAATATTTTTTACGAAACTTTAAAAACATTACTACAAGGTAACCTTAAGATTATGGTGTGATGGATATTCATTTTTTTTAAAGCAACTCCAACAATCTGTTTTACTCATAGTTATCTCATATTATGGCGTGAGATAATTGTTCTCTGTTTCTTTAGTGACAACTATTTACCTGTTTTCCAGAATCTTCCTAAGGCTATGTTGCTCAAACTCTTCAAAAATGTCAACGGGTGCGTGTCGGATACTCCAAAAGTAGTGAATTTTGGAGAATCCAACACTGGTGCTGCAACCATTTTGGAGAGTCCGAGCAACATAGGCCTAAGGAGCCCCCTCTGGGGCTTAGTTGACTTGTGAGTCACTTCAGTCGAGCAAGAACTGGACCATGATACAATTAACTGCACGTATAGTCTTTATAAGAATATAGTAAACACTTCATCAAATATGAAATTGCTACGATTATTTATCATTCCTGTAAAAACTAGAACTGTGGAAAAGCATGAATTAGTTGAATTCACAAACTACGGAGTAGTGCTTATCATATTGTACGCGAAAAACGTTCCTCTGTTACAAATTATGGTACTAGACATATTTATATACTTTTGGTTTTAATTGTGCCTGGTTGAACAGGACAAGTTTTATAACCAAGCAACGTTCAACTTGTCCAAAGCATCTGTTGTAGATGAAGTTGCAAAATTTACATCCAATGAAATTGGGAATTCGAATTACGCTGCTGTAAAGGCTGGATTTACTGACCCCAAAACTGATCGAGCAACAAGAATTTCCTTCAAGGTATGCTAATTAGGCTCAATTACCCTATATATACATTGTGTGTACATATCGTTCATCAATACCGAAACTTACAAATTTGTGTATATGTATATTTTTCACAGTATGGTTGTGTGAAAGGCGTATATGGGGCGCCCTTTTTCTTCGTAAACGGGTTTCCTCTACCTGATGGTGGCTCACCATTGGACTACAAAACATGGAGAGATGTCCTTGATCCATTGATTTCACCTGAAGAACAATTAAGAACTGAAAATTTGAATTTCTTCTTGTGAATCACTGATCTTTTAGTCTCCAATTGTATCTGTACTCTTTATAGCCTAATGTCCTGAGAGCTAGAGAGACAAATTAAACTCAATAGTTCTTATGTTTAGACATATATAATGAAAGTTTATTACTTTTATATCTTATGGTTTTCCTTGAGCGTCTATCAAAAACAGCCTCTCTATGAGGTGGGGGTAAGGGTCTGTATACACTCTACCTTCCCGAGATATGACTTTGTGAAACTACATTAGTTATGTTATTGTTGTTGTATATCTTATGGTTATAGAAAATGTAAATACTAATTTGATGGTAAAAGTTATTTTCTGTCTAATTATTAATCAAGTATAAATATTATTGAACACCAAATGATTGTGGAGAATGAATAATATTGTATACATTGAAACATCGACGATCCTTACATGTTGTGTTAGGCACAAGTTATGAGTTCGAATCCTGCCAAGGTAGAAGCTTGATACTTATGGAAGAGGGTAGAAGGGCGGGTCCATATATGTAATCGATAGAGTTACCAACATGTATGACAATAGAAGTCGGATCAGAAGCAGGGTTTTTCTAAAATAATATAAGGTAGAAAAAAAGTATTTCTCCAAGAACATTGGAGAAATGTGATCAAGAGATCGCGTGTTCAAGCTGCAAAAACAGTCTCTTGCAGAAATGTAGGGTTTAACTACATACAATAGATCCTTGAGGAAGTCTCGTGCATAGAAAGAGTTTAGTGCATGTTTTTATTTCGATTCGAATTTGAAATACTTCTTATGTGTATTCTCAATTACCCCTTGCGTAGATAAGTCAACTATTAAATTTGGATAGAAAATGTCCAGAAATATTTTATCATGTGTCCATCTATTAAACTCAAAAAAAAGGAAAAGTAAATTTTTGCTTAGACTATGAGAGCTCAAAAGAAAAGAAAAGCTATTTATTGTGTTGAGCGTCTTAAAGAGGGAAAATATGGAAGCATCAAATTGAATATCAGGTTGTTAATGTTTCCTCAATCTATGCAGGGGCATATTTAGGGAGTTTCCGTGGGTTCACATGAATTCATGTATTTTTTAGATTATATATAATAATGTTATAATTTTTTAAAAAATATTTAAATATAGATGTGTGAATCCTTGAAGTGTCATATATATATAATGCGTTGATTATTGAGTGCACCTTTCTATATGAGGTTACAAATATAAATCTTATATCTATCTTTTTTTCTTCTTTTAAAATTAACACCTCTCTAGACTCTAAGTGGTTATTCGTATCACTTTTGACATTTTAATTAATATTTTTTTCTTCCTTTTTTTCTGCACCAAATATGTATATTAAAACGAGTAGCACTAAATGACGATACAACATACAATTAATGAATTTAATCAATCTCAAGTTAGACTTATAATTTTAATTTTTTAACGTGTTTAGTGATAAAAACCTAAAAATCAGATCGAAAAAATTTATAATTTAGATTCATTTTTTTTATAATAAAACATTCATCCTCTGGAGATTCTGAATATATTTTCTATGGTGCAGCTTTAAAGGTGCCTAAAGATACTGGTGGGGCAAATTCTAATTAAGTGGTGACATTACTCATTTTGGAAGATTTGTAAATATCAGATCTGGAAATGATAATACTCTCTTCGTTTTAATTTATTTTTCTCAATTCGATTTGATACAAAATTTAAAAAAGTGAAAAAGATTTTTAAATATTTTATAATTTTAAATTAAAAATATGTAGAATGAGTCAAAATGTTGTTTAATCTTAAACATGTCATATCATAGAAAGTTGAATATAAAATATTATAAAAAAAAGTTTTTTGTTAAAGACAAACCAATTGAAACATAATTACAAAAGTTGTAACTCAATATTGTTTAACCTTTTGTGCTCAATGCAACTTTGCCTTGTCCATCAATCTCATCACCATATGATATATGATATTTTTATTAAAGTCTAATTAATTTAAATTTGTGTTGTGTAGAACGTCATTTAAAGAAAAACGTTTTTTATTAATGATTTTTCATATTCAAAATTATAATTTGAGTGCTCTAATTTAGAAAGAAGCAACTTCAACGACCGCGTCCTTTAATGATTGTCTCACCACTTTATTTGATGTCATGTCATTTGGCAATATAATGTCACAACCTTTTTGTAAAAAGAAATTAATTGGGTAGCTAATGCTTTTACTTTCTTCTTTACTTTTTTTTTTTTCGAAATAAATTTTATGTTTGATTTTTTTCCCCCTAATTTTGAGAAGCATACTTGACATGTTTTAAACACAAAAGGTGAATGGGTCTATGCCTAACGTCCCACCACTAGTGGTGGTTCAATAATCACTTTGGTGGTTTTTTTTTATCAGACATAAAACAAACGTGTCATTTAATTTGAGTTCAATTGATATATGTGTTTTCTAATTAGTTTTGAGTGTGCACAAGTAAACACTTAAACTTATATAAAGTTGAACTAATAGACACATGAGTGCTCTCAGGGACAGAGCCAACATGTCTTTAAGGGGGTCATCCGACCCCCCTTCGACGGAAAATATTATTATATATACATGGTTAAAATTATTTTTTAGATATATATAATAGATGTCGAACCCCTGTAGACTAGTTCGTATGTTTACTCCTTCGAATTTTGAACCCCCTTATTGAAAATCCTGGCTCCGCCACTGAGTGCTCTACGTGACGATTTCAAATCTTATGTAGCATCCTATGTATACTATGTCACGTAGGACATGTGTGTTTACTTGTTCAAATTTATAGATATTTAAGTGTTTACTTGCGCACATCCAAAATTGGAGGACATAAACGTCAGTTGAAGTAAAATTAAAGGACACATTTCTGTAAATATCATTTGATTATTTCTATTTTGTATGTTTAGTTTTAAATTATATTGGTGTATTTTCAAATTGGTTTTCTTTCGCGCTTTACCATTTTATTTTTTTTGGATATTTGGTGATTGAAGCTTAAAGATATTATATAATGTTGAAGTTAAAGTTAAAGTTAAAAGTATAATAATCGAAAGTTGAAATTATGTTTGTACATGAAAAATGTTTGATAAAAGTTAAAATATTGTAAGTGAAGATCATAATTATCAATATTGTCGGTTAAACCAGGATTTACATGTATTGAAGTTCAACATTTGTTGGGATTTTGATTTTTTATTTTCCATTTATTCTTGCTTTTAATTTAATTATCAAACCTATCAACGGATGAACAAAAATGTTCAACAACTTCAGCAAGGCTCACTTATCTAAATTTTAAATCTTCGTTATTTGTTTTATGTCTTATTTGTGCCTACACTTTAACACAAATCACACTTATCATTATTCTATATTCTATCTAACTCCTATTTTGTAGCTGCTACACAACTACTTATTTACGTAGGAGCTATGATAGCGTCCAATTTTTTTTTATTCGACGGTTTGATCTTATGATTTAATTTATCATTAATCATGAACGTTGATAAGATCCATCCATTTAGCAGCACTTTAGAAAGCATAACCTTAAAAGTGAAGGGCGATGTTCAAATGAGGAAAGCCTTATGGTGGATCCTAGGCACGAGGAAGGGCATAGTAATCGACGAAATGCTTCGGGTAGTTGAAAATAAGCATAGTTCCGGAGATTCCTGAATAGGGCAACTTTTCAAACTGCTGCTGAATCCATAGATAGGACAACCTAGATTTCATCCTTAACTAGAAATTTCAAATTTGAATTCTGAAAAGGTATTTATTTATTTATTTTTAATAAAAAATGTTTTCTCTACATGGGTCCTAACTAGTCAAGCCACTATGTCATGGAAACCAAAAAAATTTAAAAATCACCCTCAAAAATGAAAAAACAAGAAATTGGAGGCTTGAGTTCTTACTTCAATTTCCAAAAGGAATAAAAGTTTAACATAGTAAACGATGAAGAGAAGACTTAAAAGAAATTGAACGACCAAGAGAAGACTAAAAAGGAAAAAATAAAATACTAAAAAATAAGAAAAGTTAAAAGATTGAAAACAAAAGCAAGCTATTTAACCACTAATAATTTTTTATTTTTTATCTTTTTAAAAAAAATATTAATTGTGGCAAATATATGGTAATTGACATTTTGCTTCCGTACGAGCTTTTAGACTGATAGATTAATGCATATAATTAAGTATGTATATAATGACGGGTTTTTGTAAGATTAAATAATTTTAAAAATATTTTAAAGTAATTTTTCTTAAAAAGTGTAATTAATTTGTAATGAAAATAAACGAAAGGCTAATATATAGATGTTTTTTTGGATTTAAGCTCGTTGTCTACAACAACAACAATAATAATAATATTTAGTAAGAATCGGGCATTTTGGATTTTGACCTACTTTTCTATTCATTTCAAGCCTGAATAATTTTTGAACAAGTTATTAATCCGCTCATTTAACTCAATTCTTTTTTACCTATCCAAATTCAATTCGATCCCTCTATTTACTACTTTTTTTATTTTATTGAGAAGTGTAGCGATTATTTAAAGAACTATATAATTAAAAGTGACCGCAAAACTAGCAGCAAAGCTACTAGAAAGACATAAGCCAAAAATTAATACTTATTAATTAACAATTAACAAAAAAAAAAAAAAAGAGATATCAGAAGAAGAAAAGTAGATTAAATGAATTTGAACACAAGAAAATGGAACACAATTAACATAATCTATCTCTATTTATAATTAATGTGAAGATAAAGATCAAACCTAAGTCCTAATCAAGAGATGCAACTTAATATATTCAAGAAATAATATAAATTGATCGCAATTTATAGGGAAAAAGGTCTGAAATATATCCGAACTTTGACCGAAATTGTTGTAATAATATCGAATTTTGGAAAGGACCTTTTACCCCTGCACTATTTAATAATTTATTTTAAAGATATATATGTGCCCACGTGGACATCATAAAAATTGCATAATTATAAATAGTAATGTGTCCACGTGGGCACATATATACCTTTAAAATACACTATTAAATAGTGCAGGGGGTAAAAGGTCCTCCATAAAGTTTGATATCGTAACAACAATTTCGACCAAAGTTGAAGTATTTTTCAAACCCTTTTCCCCAATTATATGATATGTATGCTTTTTTAACAATTATTTAATAATACTATCTATATTTTATCAT